AAACCAGGACTAAACTATAAACTGCTACTCATACTACTACTATTACTACTAGTACTACTACTATTACTGCTACTACTACTATTATATTATTACAAAATTATAAGGTACTATACATGCATATAAACCAGGACTAATCTATAAACTACTGCTTATACTACTACTACTAGTACTACTACTACTATTACTGCTACTGCTGCTACTACTACAACTACTACTACTATTATTAATATTACTATAAAATTACAAGGTACATATCATACATGTATCTAAACCTGGACTAATCCAGGACTAAACCAGGAATAAACTAGGAATAAACCAGGTCAAAACTACTACTGCAACTGCTACTACTACTGCTGCTACTATTACGACTACTTCTACTACAACTACTACTACTATTTTATTACTACAGAATTACAAGGTACATACCTTATATGTATTTAAACCAGGACTAAACCAGATCTAAACCAGGACTAAAAAAGGTCGAAGCTATAAACTACTATTACTGCTACTACTACTACTACTACTACTACTACTACTACTACTACTACTACTACTACTATTACTGCTACTAGGCAAGTTTATTTGTACAGCACAAGTCGTATGCAAAGTAATTCAAAGTGTTTTACAGGATAAGAAATACATTAAAATCACAATAAAAACAAATCAAAACACAAATAATCATCAAATTAAAAAAAGAGAGAGAGAAGTAGAGATACTACTACTACTAATCCTACTACTACTACTGCTACTACTACTACTACTACTGCTATATTACTGCTACTACTACTAATATACAAGTAATTCTTTATATTCCAGTGCAGTTTTTAGTCCGTCAGAAATTAATGGACTTTAAAATGAACCATAAAATGCCTAAATAAAATCTAAAAATAAAACATTTGTATTAATATGATGCACTGGATTTTCTCATTTTGTTTTATTTCATTTTTTAGTAATTTCTACAAAAATATCACGTTTTACAATTCTCACTAAAACACAAAAATCAAACAGTTTGAGCTTCTCCATCCTTCCCTTGTTGACGTCCTGTTCCCGTCACGTGACCCGAACGCTGCGCTCTGATTGGCTCCCAGGGCAGAGTGGAGGCTGTTGCTATGGGGCCGTGAGCTGCGTTCTGATTGGCCGTCCATGTCCTCATGCGTTTCTGTTTCCAGCGTCCAGACAGGAAGTGGAGACGAGGCAGAGGAGGAGACGTGGGTTTGTTTATCATCAAGACTGGACTGGAGAAACTGAAAACAAACAAAAAAATTTAAAACTAATATATTTTTATTGTTGTTGCTCTTTTTTACTTTTCTGTTAACAATAGAAACAAGTGAGAGTTAAAGGGCCAATGTTACACTGTTTTCTGACCTATTACTTCCAAACAAATGATTAAATTTCCAGTCCTGGTTCAGTCCTGGTTTAGTCCTGGTTCAATCCTGGTTTAGTCCTGGTTTAGTTCAGGTTTAGTCCTATTTTAGTCCTGGTTTAATCCTGGTTTAGTCCTGGTTTAGTCCTGGTTCAAGATGTGGTTTAGTCCTAGTTTAGTCCTGGTTTGATCCTGGTTTAGACCTGGTTCAGTTCTGGTTTAAACTTGTTTTAGTCCTGGTTCAGTCCTGGCTTAGTTCTTGTTTAATCCTGGTTTAGTCCTGGTTCAGTTTCTCAGTTTTTTTTCTGTTAATTATAAATGTAATTACGTTAATTATTTAAAATAAAACCTTTAATAATAAATAAACCTTTCAGACATTTCAGCAGGTGGAGATTATAAACACCTAAAACTGTGCTGTGTGAAAGTACTTTTGGTATGTAAAGATTGTGTAGATACCAGGACAAGTCCAGACAGCCTCGTTCCTCGTGTCTCGTCTCTCTCCGTCTGCCGTCTGCTTCTTTGTCTGTGGAAGTTTTCTGTCCTCTCGTGAACTTTTCGCCGTCGCCGTTGGGGATCAGGACGTTACCATAGAAACAAAAACAAAATGAATCCATGAATATCGTCCTGAAAATCCCCGAGACCTGATTTCACCCTCACAACTCTGTGGACTACAACAGAAAAATACTACTACTACTACAACTACTATGTCTACTACTACTGCTACTATAACTTGTATTTGTATGCATTTTATTAAAAGACAAGATAATGGTACTATTACTATTACTATTACTGCTACTACTACAATTACTACTATTACTAGTACTTCTAATACTATTACTACTCCTAAAATGTGTTAACCCTGATCAGAAAGTTGAGGGTAAATAAAATAAAATCTTGTCCCTGAGTCTGTGGTGTATTTTGAGGTGTTTTGAGGTTTCCAGTTCGCTTCAGGACAGAAGGAAACACAGACTCATGAATAAGAGAAAAGTTTAGTCGACGTGAGAAACATAAAGAACCGACGAACCACGGAACCGACGGAGCGATGAAGCGATGGAGCGATGAACCCAAACACAGACACAGCCTCCAGCTCCAGCTCCAGCTCCAGACTCGGACCAGATGCTGTGACATGAGCTCAGTTTATGAATGAAACCCACAATAAATGAGGTCATGTTAAAGCAGGTCTACTGTGAGTGCTCTGGAGTTATAATTAGAGATGCACTGGTAGATACTGTATTTTTTGGACTGTGAGACGGTCCGGAGTATAACTCGCACCATCCAAAAAAAGTGTAATGAAGAATTAAACAACATATAAGTCACACCGGACTATAAGTTGCACTTTTGGGGGGGAAATTTATTTTATAAAATCAGAGATCAGGAACCGACATTTCCTGTTGAAAGTCAAGTCTGCGATAGTGTGGGCTTTTTGTCCTAGAAAGACGCACAGGAGATGGAAAGGTCCGAGTATAGGCCACTTTATTATTAGCATTAGCAGTTTACAGAGATTCGAGTTGATTAGAAAGTACAACTGTCACCCCGGGACGACGTCTCTGACAAAACGCAGAAAGTTAGGTAGCTTTATATTTGTTGATTTAGCATATACAGCAAGAAAATTAACAATAATGCTGACCCGGTACACTTTATCATGGGTGGGTACATGCCACAGGGTCCACATCCGCCCGTTTTCTGCCTCGTAGTGTTTCAAAGTACAAAATAACATGTCGCTTTTATAGAACCATAGATAGACAGCGTGTTTCTTCCCTGTTGTCGTTCCAAGGTACAAAATATTGAGTGAATCAGCTTTATCAACACAGAATAATTCTCACACTAATAATAAAAACAGAACAGAGTAGAGGTCTGCGCCGGACTGAATTTCTCAGTTTTCCCCCGACCGCAAAGAATTGAAATTTTCATTCCCACTCCCGCCTGCGATATTTTGTCCCGCTCCCACCCACAAATCCCGCAAAATGTGGACGTTCTCTTTCTTAAGCTTTATCACACACGAAGAAGCAGAAAGAAATTGTCTAAAATGTGCGCAAGATTAGACCACGTCCGCAAGTTTAGGCTGCTTAAAGTGTTTTCATTAATGCCAAATAAAATATCCAGCACAACGAGCTTTCAAAGTGTGTCCCGCCGCACTGTTTTGCATCGGGTCCCGCCGGAGTGCATGGCTCTACTTTCTTTCTGCTGCTCGATTTCTGTTTTCAGCTGCAGATTTCGCGACTTGCAGTTTGTAATCTGCAGAATCTGATTTTGTTTTGGGGGTATTTGTGTTCAGTCTTCTCAGTCTTTGTCTTTATAAGTTTGTTTAAAGGTTGTATGGAGGATTTTTTTTGTTTCAAATTGTCAGTGATAGATTATAGAGATGCAGTCGCCTTGTAATTATGATGACCAAAAAAAAGAGAATAAAAATTCATCAACTCTGGACGTGGTGGGGCTAAACATTTGCCAATAGATAACGACACTGCCTCGTTATCTGTGAGCTGACAGGCTGTCAATCAAACTCCCTACGTTTCTAGTGTAACTGACTTGCCTGCGCCGCCGTTACGTGGTTTATGTACGACTGTCACGCAGTCCACAGACGCAAGACGCACAGACGCTGTTTACTCCACCAACGCAACAGTTCTTAGCGGCTTTTTTGACCTATCTTCCTCTCAGTTCGCACAAAGTTTGTTGCGATGGCGACAAGAATCCAGGAGCAGTTCGCCGCTAAAGAAAGTCCGTTTTTGAGGTCGCTGAAAGAAGAAGACAAGGGGAAAAGCAGCGAAGCCAAACTAAGGTGATTCTTGGAGATTCATTCCAGCGATGGCGCGACTGAAGCAGACGAAGGGTCTAAAGACTGAACCACTGGTCCACAAATTACTCCTGGACAGGAAACTTCTGCTTATTATGAAAACCTACTTTATTTCCAAGAGCGAGACAAACGTTTTTCAGGACACAAATGCGATATCCTATATCTGAAAACGTAATTTTCAATGCAAAGAAAGAGTCCACCTGCTGCTGCGTGTTGTAGCTAGTTCATTCACACTGAATCTCCGCGCAACCTTCTCTGCTCCCCTTACTGCTCCTCTCCTCTCTCCCTGCTCCGCTCTTCTCCCTGCTCCTCACTTCTCGTCCGTGCACGAAATGTCCGCGCCCCCCCTCCCCCCGCTCCTCACTTCTCCGTCTTGCCTAACCAACACTGTAGTTAGTTGTTTACAAGTCATGTGCACCGGCTGTAAACAAACCTGTTTGTGGCGTAAGGAGGAGGAGGGAGGTGTTTCTACGTAGGAGCTGTAGGGGAGGGGAGGTGGTTTCACACATGCGCAACATTTGAAAAAGGACAAACACTGGATTTCTCGTTCCTTGGAAAATCCTCTATACAACCTTTAAATGTTCAATTGTTCAGTGGTGCAGAAGTAACGGTGCGATCGACTGACATGATCCAAACATCCAGACACAGTTTATCTTCGTTAAAAACATTTGAAACCTTCTTTAAATCTTTCTCGTCTGTTTTTCTTTGTCTCTCAGGTGTGTGTGTGTCTGTGGCTGGAGCTCTACGGCGCCCCCTGTCCGTCTCCTCCCACCTGATCTGCACGTCCCGCTTCTCCTCCGCCCCCCCTGCCCTCTGACCCCGTGACCTCCTGACAGCGCCGTCGTC